GCCGGCGCCGCGCCGGCCGCCGCGCCGCCGCCGCGCGAGAAGGCGTCGAAGCTCTCCGAGTTCCTGCTCGCGGTCGCGGCGCCCGCCGCGGCGCCGGCCAAGCCCGCGGCGCGGCGGCCGTCGAAGCTCGCGGACTTCGTCGCCAACCACCCGCAGCCCCGGCCCGCCGCGCGCTCCTAGACCTAGCGCGGCGTTACGGGCGCCTCAGAAGAGGTCGTCGTACCACCGCGGCGCGGGCGCGGGCGCGCGCCGCGGTGCGCGGTTTGCGCCCCGCGCCGCCGCGCTCCGGCCGTTGTTGAGGATCTCCTCGTAGGTCATGGGCTGGTGGAACTTGGGGACGAAGACGTCCTCCCGGTCGTCGTCCTCGACGTCGAAGTCGATGTCCTTGACGCCGGAGACGACGGCGGCCTCGTGGTAGAACTCGATCAGGCGGCTGCCCGGCGCGCCGCCGCACTCGGCGCCCCGCGCCGCGTCGCCGCCGCCGGGCGGTAGGTCGGACGGCGCGAACGGGAGCTCGCCGGAATCGCCGGAGATCTCGAACTCGAGGTCGCCGTCGTCTAACCCGTCGTCGTCGTCGCCGCCGCCGCCGTCGAAGCCGTCGTCGCCGTCGACGTCGAGGGCGACGCCGCCGGGCGCCCGGGGCGGCGGCGCGTCCTCGGCGACCTCGTAGCGCGCGAGCACGTGCGGCGCGTCGAACGCGGGCGACGACCTGGGACGCCCGGCGTCGTCGGAGGCGCCGCGCGCGGTCGACGCGTCTCCCGGGACGAGCGAGCGGCGCGCGGCGCGCGCGCCCCTCGCCGCGCCCGCGTCGGAGCGGCCGCGGGCCGCGCTCGCGGCGCCGGGCGCGCGCGGCGGCGCGTCCGCGTCCGCCGTGTCCGGCGCGAACTCGATGACGCGCTGGCGCCGCCCCGAGCCCGGGGGGCTCCCCGGCGGCGGCGGCGGCGGCGCGCCGGCCCAGGCCGCCGCCCGCGCCTCGTCCTCGCGACCGCCGCCGGCGCCGGGCGACCGCGCCGACCCGGGCGCCGCCGCCGCGGGCGGCCGCGACCGCCCGCTCATGACGAGCAGCCCGAGGACGACGGCGACGATGATCGTCGAGAGCGCGTCGAGGTCCAAAGCCACCGGGGGTGCCAGGGAGGGGGGGGCTCTAGGGCTGCTCAAGGCCATCGCAGAGTGGCTCCATGAGCGGCGGCGGCCGACTGAGCTGTCTTCAACTTGGGCGCGCCGGGGGCATCATCGGCTGCATCATGAAGCTGCCGCTCGACTGGCATAGGCATGCGCGCCCTCATCGCGACGCTGTGCGCTGCGCGCGCGGCGACGCTGCGACCGCTGCGGCCGCTCCAATCGCCGCGCGACGCGTCGCTCCGCGCGCTGGCGTCGGACGACCTCTGCGAGCGGCTGAAGGAGCGCGTGGACCTCTGCAGCCACGTGCCCGCGGGCCTCGAGCTCCTGCCGCTCCTCGGCGACGGCGTCGGCGGCCTGCCGGACGGCACGCGGCTGGGCGCGGTGGCCGCGCCGCTGGCGGCGGCGCTCGCCGACGCCGGCGACGCCTTCGTCGTCGGCGGCGGCGCCGTGCGCCTCGCGCCGGCGCTCCGGGGCGCGGCGCCGGCCGCGCGGACCGCGGCCGTCGCCGCGGTCACCGCGGAGCTGCGGGCCCGCGGCGTCGTCGAGGGCTGGCGCGACGAGCTCCTCGCCGTCGTCCCCGCGTACGGGGACGAGCCGGCGTTCCTCGTCGAGCGCGCCGCGTACCCGCTCCTCGGCTGCAAGGGCTACGGCGTGCACGTCAACGGCTTCGCGGTGTCGCGCGGCGAGCTGCGGCTCTGGGTGGGCACGCGGTCGGCGACGAAGCAGACGTTCCCCGGCATGCTCGACCACATCTGCGCCGGCCAGCAGCCCCACGACCTCGCGCCCGGCGAGAACGTCGTCAAGGAGGCGGGCGAGGAGGCGGGCGTGCCCGCGGCGCTCGCGGCGGGCGCCGTGCCCGTCGGCGCCGTGTCCTACCGGGGCGTCAACGGCGAGGGCAAGGGCGAGCGCGTCACGAACGACATCATCTTCTGCTACGATCTCGAGCTCCCGCCGGACTTCGCGCCGCGGCCCGTCGACGGCGAGATCGACGGCTTCGAGCTCATGGCCCTCGACGACGTCGTCGCGAACGTCCTCGCCGGCAGGTTCAAGCCCAACGTCGCCGTCGTCACCGTCGACTTCCTCGTGCGCCACGGCGTCCTGACGCCCGAGATGCGCGGCTACCTCGGCCTCGTCGCGTCCCTGAGGCAGGGCGACTGCGCCTAGCTCCGTCGAGGGCGGGGGCGGGGGCGGCGCCCATCGAATCACATCGTCCGGAAGTCCGCAGGGGGGGCCGGCCCGCGCAGACGCGTACGATCGGCCGCGCCGCGTCCGCGCCCGCGAGCACGAGCACGAGCCTTCCAGACGCGTCTAGACGCCAGATCTGGCCAGAGCCGCCATGGCCGCGCCGCCGCCCGCGCCGCCGCCCGCGCCGCCCGCGCCGCTGGTCGAGGGCGAGATCGTGCTCGCCTGGCGCCTCCGCCCCGTCGCCGGAAGTCGCGAGGCCTGCGGCCCGCTGGCCTACGTCGCCACGGAGGTGTACAACGTGCGCGTGGCCGACGGCGGCGGGTTCGTCGACGTCTACTTCTACGACGCGCGCGCGTCGGCCGCGGCGGCGGTCGCCGTCCCCGGCGCGCGGCTCCGCGTCGACGCGCCGCCGTCGCG